TTCTTAATGCCACTGTTGACTGCTGTTCACTTTACATGGTTCAAATGTTATTCTGTTATAGTTTATTAAATATTTTATTGCACTATTTGGTTCAGAATATATTTTCCCTGTTTGCCTCCTCTAAAAATTATGTGCATCTTAAGGTCAGGTGCGTCTTATGGAGCAAAAAATATGGTACATGTATTCATGTAGCAAAGCAGGAGATGAGGACAAAGTTCTGCTAAGACAGTGGTTCCCAACCTTGGATAACCCAGGTGTTCTTGGACTGCAATTCCCAGAAGCCTTCACCACCAGTTGCGCTGGCTGCGGTTTCTGGGAGCTGCAGTCCAAGAAAACCAGGGTTACTCGAGGTTGAGAACCACTGTCCTAAGCAATAACTGCATTAAAACATTTGCCAGTCAGGCACGAAGTTTTCCCAAACTTCCAGGAAGATGCTAACTTCTCTCTCCTTCATTGTCCAGGCTTTAAGTTTCCTTTCCCACAGAGGTAAGGCGCAAGTGTTTGCTGCCATCCAACTACTAGCGGACATCCCCCCCCTCCCCTTCAGTTCATGAAAGGCAAGACCTGCTTTTCCAGAAGGCCAACAGAAACCATGATCCCTCATGTTCCAGTCTCTTGATGGCAAAGTTTTTGATAGGTCTCATATGCTTTTTCTAGAAGACTCTAGATATATCAAGGGACCAGGGTTTTTATACTGAAGCATTATAATCTAGCTTGTTCAGAATGCAAAAGTTTTGTCCTCCACAAGCTTTGAATATAAATTCCTATAATCTCTGACTTTTACCCATGTTGGCTGGGCCTCTGTAGCTGAAGTGCAACATATCTGGAGGGCTTAATGCTGAGGAACACTGCTCTACACTACATGATGACAAGTGGCCAGGATCCTACCCTGCCTGGAGTTACTAGTGATTGAACATGACATTTTTGGCATTTAAACCATGGGGTTTAATCATGGAATGACAGCCTTTTTTTTTGCACATGCAGGAAGCTGCCTTACACCATAAAAGATCCTTGGACCCTCGGGCTCACTGCTGTGACAAAGCCAAGTACCAGCCATGGCTCTCAAGGGTTTCAAGCATGAGTTTATCTTGCCTTACCTGGAGATGCTGCTAAGGTCCAAGCCGGGACACTTTCACACATTAGAATACAGTACCATCTACCCAAGCAGTGATTTTTGAACCTTTAATCTGTGGTGATGATTGCGTTTTGAACAAAGGCAAGATTTTAGTAATCCAAGACCGATGCAACCTCATGCCCCAGTTGCTACATTTGGAACAAGGGAGTCCCTGGAGGTTTGCCAGGGAAGGAAACACAGCCTTTGCTTCCTTTTCCCTCCACAGCAGTCCAGCTGAAAAAAACACATGGGAAGTGAAGCAGGAGAAAAACATCCCTAAAGCATCAGGGAGATCTTTTATGCAGGGATGTGTGTGTGTGTGTGTGCACTGACCTGGGATGCATGAGCATTGTCTCCCTGTGGCACTGATTCACTGCACCACTGACCTGGGAATGCATGAGCGTTGTCTCCCTGTGGCACTGATTCACTGCACAGTACCTGGAGAAAGGCAAGGAAGGAAGCAGTTTAAATGGAACAAGAACTTCCTGTCATCTAGAGATCTGTTTTATTTTGCTGTCTGTGTGTGTTCATGTTCAAGTCAAGGGCACCTAACGCACACCTACTATGGCAACGCTCATAGGGTTTTCTAGGGAAGTGAGATATTTAAGGAATGGTTTTACTACTGTCACTTTTAACTCTGCCAGCCCCCCCGCCTTGAGTTCATTAGGCCCAGCAAGGATTTGAACCCAGGTCTCCAGAATCCCAGTCCTTCAGCCTATCCACGACACCACATTGGCTCTGGCACGATCTATTTTCCTCCATGTGAATGATGTCTTGACTCAGGTGGCTCGGCTCTAGTCACCTCAGGTCCTTGGATAGATCCTGCACCCCGGGGGCCATCTGTGCAGCCCCTCTTTGCGCGTCCTTCTTGCCTTGGTGGTCAACCCTCCGTGCAGTGCCCTCTTTGAGGGCCACCCTCTGAGGGCCACCTTTGTCCGCCACCCTCCGGTTCCTGGTGAGGTTTTGTAAAGAGGGCTTGGCTGTGGAACAAGGAAGGCTCCCCCTTGGAGGGAAAACCCCACAAGCAACAACAGAGTCAAGCGGCAACACGACAACACCGGCTGCGGCGCTCATCCTTTCCCTTCACCCTCTGCAGGCTCAGCCGAGGCCCCTCTCCTCCTCGCCCCCCCACCCCCGCTTCCCGCATTGAAACTCCCTCCAGCCTG